CCCCAAAACCCCAAAACCCCAAAACCCCAATTAAATAATCATGTGTTGAAATTATATTCTATTAGATCAAATTGGAGAGAGCAAGAATAGAGAGGAATACTGTGACTGTAAGTTGATATGAGCTGTCTCCTTCCCAAAATGAACGCATAATTTCTGATTTAACACATTTGTCATTATCTGCAGCTGCAGCATAGCTTCCTTCTCCAATGTAAAATTGAGCCTGCTCCCATTTCTTTGCAGCTTTCCCTTCTTTGTTTTTAAGATTTTTACACTTGGATAAAGTCGAAAGTAAATGACAATCATTATCAACTTTTTGAAGAGCTTCCTTATACCCTTCTATTGCAGAAGTATATTCAATATCTCCTTTATAGACATCTCAGTATCCTGATCCATTTGTATTAAACCCACATTTAGAATATTCTGTAAACTCCTGGTATTCTGTGAGATCATTAGGATTCCTAAAGGCTTTGTATTTACAAACCTCTCCTGCTCCCTTTTCCTTAACCCTCTTAGAATCAATTAATTGAGGACCTGGCATACAGTAAGTCCCTTTATCACTCCTCAAAACATGCCCTGATTGACAAATATCCTCCTTCGAATAAGCAACGGTTGAGATTGGGAAGACTTGGGTTAAATCAACTAACTCTCCATCCTGTAAAGAAAACATCTTCTTACAGCTAAACCCTGCATCCTGCTTTGTCATCGCACATAGAGTGCCATACTCACAGGGTGCTTGTGCAGTACAAGTTTCTCCAAACTTAGTAATTTCCTTACAAGTTTGCTTCACAGAATCTCAAAAAAGGCCTGGGCTACAGTACCTTTGTTCTTCTCTGCCAAACTGATTGATGCATCTAATTTTTATCCTGTTGCTTACCTTTGATCAGTAACTAAGCCTTGGCAAGTTCCTTTGTGACATTTAAATTGATTGTAGCACTCTGTGTCTTTAGAACAATGCTCTCCTGGTAAACGGTCCTTAACTTCCTGTTTAGCACATAACGTATTATTAACAACACTTTCAACACTGTTAAACTTATCTCCCAGACAATACTCTCCTTTGGGACATTTCTGCACTATCCACTCCGAAGAATACTGCAGACAAGTATGTTCATCCTTTTGGTTCTTAATCTTCCCACATTTAAACACCGGACACTCACTCGCTGTCACATTCTGCACCAAAAATCCCAAAATTACCCAAACTCCAAAAACTCCCAAAATCCTGCTCATTTCTAAAATTTTATAAAACTCAATCTCCCTTTGGCCTAAAGGGGTTTTGGGGTTTTGGGGTTTTGGGGTTTTGGGG